GCCTGCTGAAAAAAGAGCAAACAAATAGTTCTACAATATACCGCTCACTTTTTTATCAAACAAAAACATAAGTCTGAGATGAATATCGGTTACATGAGCTAGGAAGTTGTTTATAATACACGGTATCCTCGGAAAGTAAGCAGACAAATTAAAAGACGAAATAATAAAATAAAAACCTGGGAGATTAAATGTATAGAAACATCCCAGCTCTTTTTTGATAGTTTAAACTGGTTGTTTTATCGTTTCCGTATCAAAACAGAGGACTTATTTTCATTTAGTGAGACGACACTGAACCAAAAATTTTGCTTCGAGATGGAACAAAATTGTAGCATTAAATTTTGTACACATTAGGTAAATCTGCTACTGAAACGTTAGATGATTCGAACAGTATATATTGATGTATCATTATCAAGATCGTGTATATGAGTGCTAAACCGCATTAAATGCGCGCGCGAAAGCGTTGAAGATCAATCAAAGATAGGGTGCCCTTAAACTTCAAAGAATCAGGAAAATATGGAGAAAATTCCTTCTTGGTAAAAGCTGATAGACGTATCAGCAAATTTTCACAGCAAATTTCAGACATGCTTGGGATAAGCAACGGAATCTGTAGGCTAATTTTAATTGAAAATCTGAAAATGAGGAACGTTTTTGGTCTATGTGTGACTCGGATTTTGACAGAGCAACAAATAGAAGACAGAAAATCTGTCTGTGAAGATTTGCTGACTTAGTGCGAGACAGGAGTTTAAATTCCTTACAGTCTATCACACAGGATGCACTGCTCCCAGAAACTGTTCTCTGGTTTCCAAATATGAATTGAATTTTAAAATTAATATTAAAGATACTTCATTTTTCTTCCGAAAAACTATATTTCCTCTTAATTTATTAAGTGTCAGAGTTTTTTTTCACTTTACCAGACTTTACCCTGAATATCAGCCTTTTGTTTACAATTACACTTTCAGCTTCCATTTGAAAGATATTAGGCTTCAGACAATAATAGTTACAGTTTTCGTATGCGACGTGAGTACATTATGGTACGCCACGTAAATTTTATTATGTGCCTAGGAAGTAGAAAAATTTTGTAAATTATTATTTAATCTAATTATTATTTAAATTATATTTTTCTTTCAAATCACAATCTTTGAATTAAATCTGACAGATTTTTAATTAAATTATCTTTTTAAACCATAACATAACGACTATTATTCCACATAACCACTATTATTCCTCATAACCTCTATTATTCATCACTTGGCGACAAATAATAATAATTAAATTAAAAAAAAAATAAAAAAAAGAAAGAGTAGTGATTTTCCCCCTTCCAGGTGGCAGTTTTCCACGATGCTTCAAATGAAAGATTCGAATTTGGACAATACCAACAATCTTTCTGACTGAAAAAATCCTTCATATAATACTCGAGCCCACAGGGCTTACAAATGCGTTTCACCAGTATATTTATTTAGCCTTATTTACTAGCAAGGCTAAAACTACTATAAAATTCGATACTTTAAATCAAATAGTAAAAATGAAAATTTAAAAAAATTATGACAATCATTTTTAAACTTTTCACACAGTTATGCTAAATTTAAATATTTTATTAGTTCCTTTTTGATTCGCTAGCCAAGTTAATAGTTTCTATCCTACTGAAAGGTAGCTTACCATACTGCCTGTTTCTGTAGAAGGCCACAGCAACTCCCAATCCCTATTTTAGAGAGGGAAAACCCTCCAGTTTAGAGAATGCGTTTAACCTCGTTTAGAAAAACCACTCATGGTCCCAGATAATTTTTAAATTCTGTGGAATTAGTTTTATTAGATTATTAATATTAATTCATTATTGTCAGTTAATCATCCAACAATTATAATGTGCTTTCAAAAATATTGGTGACTCTCAAACGGAATTACTGCCTCTAAAATTTATTCACTGTTATTTCTTCAATACTTCCAAAAATTTTCGCAGTAGTATTATTATCTTTGATGTAAATTCACATTATTTTGATAAATATCTGGCAGAAAAGGAATCATTATTAATACTTAACATTTTTTTTTTTATTCTCATAGTGAGTAAAAATAGAAGTTTAAAGGTAAGTTATCACAATTTTCATTCCTGCATACTGAAAATCAAATCCACGAAAACGATTCTTCGCACGTTTTGGATACACTGTGTTGTAAATTTCCTAAGAAATGAAGACCCACCAGATAAGTCTTTATTCCTTTTCCGTAACAATGAAAGTTATAATAATTATCATTTAACTTTCTTTTAGCAGTCCTCGGTGTTATCATAAATGAAACTCACAGAAAGCGTGTGTGTAATAATTGTATTATGACCATATATGGAGGAAATGGAAACACACAAACCTTGTCCCGATACCGCAGAAACGAGGACTATAGTAACAAGACCAAATAAGGTTAATCAAAAACACACTCGTTCTTAATCCGACACCGCATTAACGAGGACTAGATAGTACTCTGACCATATTTGGAATGCACATGTTCACTTCGAACAGCAGTAAGGAGAACTTGCTTTTTCTGGCATGGAATCGTGGCCCCAATTTTTGCACAAAGATGCACAGCCCATACATAGTTTTACACAGAAATAAACTACGTATATTCATACCAAGGACATAGCTCGGATTTGGCTCATAATTGGTTTCTACATGAATCCGAGGTCCCCGATTGCAATTCTGGCATTCTTGTCAACCGAGGATGTCCTCGGTTAGAAGGTGTGTATACATATTTCCGTACTCGTTTTACACCCTAGGCAAACACACACACACATACAGGGGGGGGGAAAGAAGAAGAGAGATTATTCTCATTATAATTTTAAAAGAAAATGAAATTCTAATTAACTTCATTAACAGTCTTTTGAAAAAAAAAATGAGTAGTCTGAACCCTATAAATTTTTTATCCCAAAGCTCAAATATAGAAGGATAAAGAAAGATGTTTAAGGAAGTTCTATATTATTTTTCTATTTACATATGCTTTTCTTGACTTTATTAACAGAGGGCCTACTATATTCTAGTCATCATGATAAGCCCATGATGTGAAGACTTTTTACTTTTCTAACCTTTGTTTCTTGTTTATTTTTACACATTCTTTTATCAAAAATTTACAAATTTCTTACAAGCATTTAATTCACTGTTTAGAGATTTCTAACTTGCCATCACCAATTTGTGCCAATGAAGCCAAGCTGGCACCCTTACGTCTTTTGAATCTAACGTTTTGGTTCTTTGTTTCGAAATCTGTAGTTAGAAGACAGTGTTCTCTGTCGGGGAGTGGGTCAGAATTTTCGAATGAACTCTTATAATTCAATAATTTGGAATGGTTCATCAGCTAATTTTGAATCACACAAATGCAGTGGTTTTCAATGGGAAGGGGGTTCAGGTGAGTTTGATGTACCTCCTCTTGAAAACATTACATCAGATTTGATTAACAGAAACATTGCATTCCTGTTCCTTTGTTTGTATTTGTATTTATTTTTTGTGGGTTTTGTATTTTTGATATTTTAGTATTTCAAATTTCTTTAATTCTTCCAATTTTTGGTTAATTTTACATATTTATATGGAATTTTGAAATTTACAGGTTCTGAATTTCACTTTTTTGGGGGTGTTTGAGGAATTGGTTCTAAATTTCGTTACTTTTGTCTATACTGATTAATTTTCAGCAGCATATTGTGTGGAAATAAATTAGGATAATTTTGCTTTAAATAAAAAATTGTGATTCTGTAATATGCATTCTGCAATAAAGGGAGAGACAGTGCAGCTGCAGTAATTTCATACAAAATGTTTAATATTTTTTTATGTTTATCATTAATTAAATGCATATTTATTACATGAATAAGATTCAGAGGTAAAAAAAAAGGTAATATTAAGAACCCTGTTCGTTCCTTTTAAATTGCTTATTTTGTTAATCAGTAATATACACATTAAATTTGAAAGTTAAATATTTTATACTTTCGCAAAAGGCAACACACTGTTTTTAAATATCCAAGCTTGCTGATTAAATTTAAAAGATACATATCTAATAGTGTGTTGCTAAAAATGTTTCACTTCAAGCAGTGATAACACTTTGCTGTTAAATAGCTGGGTTTGTTACTCAAAATTAATTAAACTTGTACAAAATAGGAAGTAAATAAAATAACAAATTCAAAATATGGGCTTTTATATGCATATCCTCAGACGGAAGATTATGTGAATTCAAAAATTAATGGCTTTAGGCGGCATTGTTTTTGAACATTGGGATGAACATATATATAGATTATTTATTTAATAAAAAGTATACAAGTTATTTAATAAATACATAGATGATACTGGAAATAAACTAAATGAAAGTTCTTCTGTTGTTCAAATGCATACAAACTTATCTTAACCCCCCCCCAAAAATGTTTTCAGATTTTAAATTACGTCTAAAGGGGCATTTTTTTAACATTTTGTCTGTTTCCTTTCTTTATTAAATATCATATTCTTTGCACTTAAACCATTAAATTCAGTTCAAGAGCAATATCGCGCAAAATAGTTTTAAATTGAGCATATCTTTAGAATTTCCGATACAGAGTCTCGCGCGCTGGAGATAAAAATGTTTTTTCTGTACAACATTGCTATTGCTCACTTTGAAATCCTCAAGTTTGTTAAAGTTTTACAAAATATGAAATCGATAATAAAACAAACTCCAAATTTGGCCTTCCACATAGCAATATTAGCAGTAGGATTATGTCATTCAAAATTCGATGGTTGTTTATCACAATATGAGAAATATACACACATTTATGCAGATTTTTCACTATTTAATTTCTTCAAATATAATGCAGGACTCTTAACATTTGGTGGCAATAGTTTGAACAGTGAAATGGACATTTATAGTGAACCAACGCAAAATCTCAAAATGAAAACAATACTCCTTCAGGGACAAAGCCTCTTTGGACTAAAAATTCCAGAGGAAGCTTTAAAATTGTCTTTTAATAAAGGTAACAATTTGAATCTTACACTGTTAATTTATGAAACTCAACTATATATCAGTTTTCAAAGTATTTACCTTTTCTTCTAAAGAATTTAATGGCAGATCATCTATGAATATATATTCAGGATATGCATGGAACAGCATATCAATGGCATTCACAAATTCTGCTTCTACGTCAAAATACTTAGCTTCATATTCCTTATGGACTTTGCTATTCTCCATACTATGGTATATTCGCAGATGCTTGTCTTCCTGCCACCAACCTACAGAAAAGAAGAATTAGTTAAAAAATTAACAGTATTATTGTCTTCAAATTAACTAAGAAAGATATGTTAAGCATTCATTAGTGAACATGTTCAAAACAGTAAATGTAAAAATTACTGTAGCATTTTTTTTATTTAAATACGCTTTCATTTAAAAACAGCAGTATTTACCTACCAACAGTATACTGTATCAAAATCTAAAATTTGCATTTTCTGTTGTTCTCATGTAAATGCGTTTGCTGCCTTGGAAACACTTTTATTCAGAAAAACAAAAAAAGATTACTTTTTTACATTTAACTTTGTATTACATCACACAGATACTTATTAAAGAATTAAAATAGAAGGTCTAAAATCTGAACTGCATTATTGAGCTAAATAATAAATTGCGAATGGCTTTGGCAATATTTGGAAATTATTGGTGACAGGTTTCTTCATTTAGTATTAATGCAACTACTATATTCTAGTTATCACTTCTGTAATTACTGCTGAATAAATAAATTACTTAAAGTCACTTAATTTGCATCTCTAACTTAAAGATATATTATGTGCTGTTTTAATAGAGAAAGATTGCAATCACTAGAAGTTTTTAAAATTCAACAATATAAGCAGCAAAAATGTGCACAAATGCATTTAAGATGATAATTTGTCCCAGGAACGACATCAAAATTTGTGAACTGAACACGTTTTAATTCAAAGACATTTTTTTAAAATTTTTATTCTGATAAAAGAACCGAGGAAAATGCTATAATCTGGCAATTTCTAAAAAGAGACATAAGAAGTATCTGCCATTAAATTCTTTCAGGAAAAGAAATTATTCACAGTGAAATATTTTAAGGAAAGAAAAGTCACAAATATGTTTTCTGGCAGGTCTACATCTTAAATTAATTGTTAGGATAGCCATTTCTATTGTAAGCTACATTTTGACTTAACACTAATGTCTGCTGATGAGTGTTACCTTTTTATTGGAAAAATACTAGTATTTTAAACATACGATTAGAATGAAAATCAATACTTCTTTATCATATTAAATGGCAAAATTCTAAATAAGCTCATGATTTGCTTTTAATTATTATCATTTTAAAGAATAACTAAACCTACGTGACTAAATAATAATAATAACCACTGCACGCAATTTGAGGCAGAAGGATTTGATCATTTTAATGCATACCTGGATTGAATGATTTTAAGTGTCCTAGCATTCTGCAAAGACTTTGAAGACACAACATCTATGAAAATTATATATGCAGTATTAAGTATAAACCATGTGAGTATGTAGTCAGATGAATTATGATGGTAATGTATCTCCAGTACTTTAGAAATGGAATATAAAAGGAGAAAGCAACATAATTAATAGAAAGATAAACATCCAAAGCTTTTGAAGACCTTACAAATCCTAAAATAGAATTCGCCAGACTACAAACATTTATCATATCCAATTTGACTCACATCTGCTTTGCCTGGTCTATTCCAGTGATATTTGTAATAATTTGCAGTTTCAATTCTTCTAATTCTTGGAGTAATTTCAGCTTCCTTTTAAAAGATAGTTTGTGATGGAATCATGTGATGTTACCTAACAGATTAGTTACATAGCTGCTATTGACTGATCATATTCCCTGACCATCTAGATCCAAATTTAACATCATAGGAATCATTCTTTTAAAACTGAGAACCAAATATTTCTGCCACTCTGCCAGGGATTTTATGCAATTAAAACAGATTGCCATGGCTGTCGTTCAGATAAGCCGGACAATGCTGCAATAACTACAAGTCAAAGTGGATTCCAGGATGTGTATCTGCCATGGACGAAAGAGTGGATGCATCGAAAATTTGTAGTGTATGTAAAAAACTATTTCATTACCATTAACTGTATTATACTATCCCTTTCAATTATCACACAATTACAGACTAAAATTCTGCAGACTATTATTGAAATGAATGAAGTAATGCTGCAGGAACTAACTATGGAACCTGAATTTCGTGATATATATCAGCCATAGACAAAAGGGCAAAAATATAAGGAATTTGTCAGTTCTATAATATTTGTTTTGCAACAGCTAGCCATCTCATCACTGAGAACATTATCAAGGAAGCAACCACTCGAAAGTGAACAATTTTAATCCACAAGAAAGGGAAACTTTGCCCCAGGTGTAATGAAGCACACTTCTACGGTCAGGTCCAAGGGTCTCCTGTCTTTCTTTTCTTTCCACCTAACCTATCAAAACAATTTTCAGCTCGACAGCATTTTAAAGCGCTTCCACGTAGCAAAGACTCTACAGTCACAGACAACCATGTCTTCGAGAATTGAAGGTAGGCCCAATGGTATGGCAGCCGGTCCCCTTCCACCATAGGATACATAATGTTATCCTTTTTTGTTATCACATACTGATACACTAAAAATCTGGAGAAAATGATTCAGTTACGCATAACGCATGGGTATAACTATTATGGTAAATGCATGGGTGCAATTACACTTCAGTAGCAGAAGTTGTATGAAGATTGTATAAAATCTGATCGAGTTGAGCTTGAGTAGGTGCCCTGAATAATAAATCAAACTTCTCTCATATACAAAAGAAACGCACTATTTTCTCCCTCACCAGCTCTTTCCAGCTTCGACAGTACTATTTTACTCACACCTTACCTTAGGAATTTGTCCATTTTCCTTTGAAAAAGCTAGACAGCTTTTATGCATAAGTATTTACTTTTATGAAGCATGTAACTACATAACCATTTAAAATAAAATACTACATGTTTTAGACAGACAGAAAAGTAGAAATATACCTAGCAGCTCTTTTTCTTATTAATCGAATTTTGGAATCTGGGCTAAGCTCAGTAACATTTACAATTCTTCCATTTTCCCATTCTTCACCATGTCCGTAAATACTGCGAGACTTTTCTCCTAAAAAAGATACAACGATTCATTATTTCAAAGATTTCTTGAAAAAACTATTGCTATTTTGTGAGCCAGCCTCTTTATATTAATTTTTTTCCTCAACAGAATCTGCTTTTGAATACTTCATAATGTTTTTCCTCCTTTTATTAAGGAAGGGGAAATTTCTGAAGGGAAATATTTACAATATTCGTACAAACCACTACTGTTTGAAAAGTGCCTTCATATTAAAGAAAAGTAATCATTCTAAGCATTTTGATATAGTAAGTACTCTAAATAAGCATTATCAAAAGCAAACTCTCTTATTTACATTGATTTGATTTAACAGCATTTTTTTAACCACTATATATTTATTTCTAAATGAATAAAACTAATCAGTTTTTTTTTGTACCTAATTAAATAGTTTCCACTCTGAAAAGTTTACATATCTTCTTGGAGGAACTGTAAAACTGTGAATTAAGGCTACAAGAAACAAATACGTTTGTAACTACAAATAATAAAATATAAAGGCAAGTTAAGATTTCTTAGGCATCTGTTTACCATTTTATATCCCATGAAATAAGTTAGGATTCTCAGAAAACATCATCAGTTTTAGATTTTATAAAATTACAAAAGAGTATTGCGAGTTCAATTATCATTATTATTTTCCCTTTTTAATCTGCCTAGCTGCTGTATATCTCTATTTTGAATAAAATATTTCAAATAAACACATCAAAAATAAAAATCTTACTTAATGTTAAATGCGGAGGCATTGACGCATGAATAAAGTCTTTAGCATGTTGATCTGCAGCTTCATCTACTGATAAATACTTTAAAATTTTACTTGATAAGGAAATAACTTTCTCTAAGAATTTATTTCTTTCTGGTGATTCCTAAAATACATGAAATATATTTTAATAATTTATATAACATAACATAAAAGGCATACACATAGTCATATTTACCCATGTGTATGTGTCAATGTTCACAAATGCAGATATAAAGTTGAAAATATTAATAAAAACAAATAATACACACAAAGCATGCTTGTAAAAGGTAGTTTCAAGCTTTAAAAAAAAATACTGATCACAAACATATATTTCTAAATGAAAAATTTCAATTTATTACTGATCACAGACATAGTTTCTCAGTATAATATACATAATCTTATCAAAACAATTTCAACACTGTGCACAGATGGATTCTGCAAATATATCTAAATTTTTATATGGTAGCTACACAGCAAAAAGTTTTCCAACTAATAAAACAGTAATTATGCTTTAATTAATCCTCTGAGTGGCACCTTTTTTTTGGATTTGTCATGCAGACCTGTATTTATTAGCTAAATTTATATAATTACTTACTTTAGCCTATATTTTCATAAACTTACTTCATTAAGATTACATTTACGTTATTAAAGAAAGAAAGAAAAATATCTTAAGTTGTATAAAAAATCTCATAACAGCATAAGGCTGATCATGCCGCTGAGAGGGTTAAATACGAGAAATTTCATTTCACGATTCAAGTGCAAAATCCATGGTGATATAAAAAAAAGGGTACTAAATTGCTAATTTTTTAATTGCAATATTTCTAATTTGGCACTTAATATCATGCTAGCAAGAAATAAAACAAGATTTTTTTTTCCTATTGGGGGGGGGGGAAGAGAGAGAGGAGAGAGAATCAGCCAAACACCTTCCATTCTGTTTGATGACCTTTACAACCTTTCTGGTAACTTCAAGATTGCACGCTGACAGAACGTCTGGTTTTTATCAGCAAGAAACTTAACCAAATGTGATTTGAGATTATTGTTAATTACTAAAATTCTTGCCATTTAAGAGGTTTTGTTACTTTTAAAATAAATGATAATCCAATGATGCAAGGTCGGGGCTACACTGGGGAATGAGATATCACTTCGAAGCTCCAATTATTTCGTATGTGTTGCTAAAGATGTGTAATACCTCAGACTGTCATGGTGGTACACAATTCATTCGCGATTTGTCAATTCTGGCCTTTTCTTTTTGATTCCTTCCTCCAGTTTCATAAGTTGAGGGCAGTAAATAGCCGAGTTGATTACTTGGAAGCAGCTCAAAATGCACATCTTCATAATCCCATCAGATTGAAAATATGATCTTTTTATATATAAGATTTAGCTTCTGATATGACTTGTGCTAATTCATCATGCTTGGATCTTTTTTTGATTAATGTTACTGTAGACTATCTATATCTCATCATTCAAAAAAGGGTCTGCATTATGTTTGAAAAATATTTTATAGTTGCATTACGTTATTATTGCATTACGTTTGAAATGCATATAGAAAATATTGATTTGTTACGTGAATTTCTTTCAATTTCGGCGGAACCCAAATATTGAGCTTCTTAATCAGTCCAAGCCATCTCATGTGATTTTCAATCATTGTGTGTGATACGTTTAACCTTTTTGTAATCTCTTGCACATGAGACAATTCAATTCAATTATGACTTTAATTTGGTCATCATCAACTTCAGAAGGTGGATCAGAATGTTGGCTATCTTCATACATTTGTAAACATTTGTAAACATCAAAATACACTCTCTGGTTGTCTCTTTTATTAAAAATGGCTGATTTATTTTCAAATCTATATGCTCTCTAAAAGATGAAGACTTTTGCCTTTTTAATTATTTTTGCATTTCCTGATGTTTACTTTTTCCACTTGAAAAATGAATTTAATTACTGTTATTAATTTAAAATAACCTTTTAAACAATTAAATTTTAGGTAATCTGCACTTTTAAAAACAGTATGCATTATCTGCACACTACAATAGCATTTCTCAATATGTAGCCCTTGATACTTGTAGTCCTCACAGATTTCCAAAATACAAATTAACTGCATATGCCCCATTATTGCTGAAAATCTCATAGTTTAGAAATTACACATGGAAATCACCTATACTTTTTCTCCCAAGATGGATATTTTATGAAATTTATTACCGATTTTCCTATTTATAGATCTCCCATTCTAGTTTAGCAGAAGAATACCAATATAAATCAAATTACTTTTAAATTATATTTTAAAAATAAAAGTATACTAGTAGTAACACGTGTAGAAAACATTGCTTTGAAACGGGACAAGAGGGAGATAATCTGCAGAACCTATAAAAGTGGTCCCACTTGAAAAAGTTTGAGAAACATTGCATTATTTGTGCATTGTTTTTTTTTTTGTTTGCCGATCTTTTTCAAACTGTAAATCCACTACCTCCCTTACATTTTACAATTCTACTAAGTATTATGCTTTTGTGATTTTATTACCACCTAAATAGCATATTTAAGTGTTATGAAATGTTGTGGACATTTTAGATCGAATGCTGGAAAAGTATTGAGTAAAATCTCACAAATGTTCACTAATCCACAAATATTTTTGGCTGATTACCATCTTGAACAACTAAGTACAGCCATGGGTTCTTAGTTTTTATATGGGCTTAATATCACTTTGCTAATTTCTCATAATTACACAGAATTAAACCTACAGCAAAACTTGTCATAAGTAAATGCATGAACATTTTTAAAACTTTGAAAATGTGCATATAAGACACCTTTTCTTTAATTAATCATTTTAAAATTTTTTATTAACTTAAAATCCATAAATATAAAAAGTGAATAATTAAAACTACTACTAAATTACAAGGGCTGTCTGAAAAGTTTCCAGCCTCAATATGTAGATGGCAGTTCAAATCAACTGAAATGTTCCTGTGTCTGTGTGTGGAGGGGGAACTTGTATTTTGAACACTGATTTTTTGTTTGACAATTACTTTTGTGAGTTGATGTGACCTTTTTTGCAAAAATGGGGGGAAAAAAAATCGAATATTGCACTGTGATTAAATACTTGTTTTTGAAAGGTAATATGCTACTCAGAATAAAGAGGAGTTGGACACAATGTATGCACCATCGTTTACTATTGTGAAATTTTCAGCAGCAGAATTTAATGGATGACAATAAATGTTCAAGACAGCCCAAAATTGCAACCACTGATGAAAACATTGTTAAAATCCACCAAATGGTGCTGGACGACCATTGAATCAAGATTAGAGAAATAACAGAGGTTTATTAGCATGTCTAAAGAACGTGTTTGCCACATATTGAACCAAGAGTTAGATATGTGCAAGCTGACTGCATGTTGAGTGCTGCATTTGCTCACTCTGGACCGAAAATGTGTCCAAATGAACATTTGCACTGTTCTGTTGGTGCAATAAATCAGAGTTTTTTCAACTATGATTCACTGTAGATGAAATCTGGATTCATCATTACAACCTAGAAACAAAAACACAGTCAAAATAGTGGACTTCAAAAAAAGAATCAGCTCCAAAAATGTCAAAAACTGTTCCTTCTGCTGGGAAAGTGATGGCAACAGTTTTCTGGAACAGACATGGGATTGTCTTAATAGACTATCTTGAAAAGGGAAAACCATTACCGGTACATACTATGCAATGTTACTTGACAAGCTGAAGATGGTCCCATTTGAAAAGTAAAGAACTGTTTGTCCAAGGCGATGCTCTATCTCACACTTCAGTAGATGCAATGGCAAAAATCCATGAATTATGATTTGAACTGCTTGACCAACCAGCCCTATTCGCCAGACCTGGCACCAAATAACTATTTTTGTTCCTTAAGCTAAAAGAAGAACTTGGAGGTCAAAGATTTTTGTCAAATGAGGAGACATTGCAGAGAAAGATTCCACATATTATTTGTGCAGGCTAAAAGAATGGGAACATCTCTGCAAGAAATGGCAAGGAAACTATTACAAGGAAACTATATAAAAAAATAAAGGTAATTTTGCAGAAAAATATCTTTTTTCTTTGTTAAGTCAGAAATTTTTCAGACAGCCTACGTATATGCACACTTAATTAGAAATTTTTAGTTTATTATTCAAGCTGAAATGTCACTAAATCCACTAATGCATCATTTGAGCAAATACAGTAAATTGCAAATAATTGCAAAGGAAATTACAATCCATAAACCATATATCTTAGAGGTTTTTGAACTACAATTTCTAAGAGAAAATAAAAATAAATAAATAATAAGTTCTAGACAGAGACAAATATATTTATAATCATCATATAACTATAATTTATAAATTATGAATATAAAGTTCCATAAATAACATGCTTTGAAAGCTTAAGTTCTAAATTAGGTATTTTATATTATTATTATTATTATTATTTTTTTTTTTTTTTTTTTTTTTTTTTTAAGCATTAGTTTTCATTTGCCTGCATGTTTACTTTTCTAATGAAAATGGTTTCAAGAGTTTTCTTACCTAAACTTGGCAAAATACAGAACGAATTTTTTTAAAACAATATAATAATTCTTTCACAGGTTGCACTTGAATGAGGTATTTTTTTGCAATAACAGTATCCAGAAACATTTAAAAGTTGCTTTCAATTAAAAATTTAACTCAGCTTTCAAAACATTTATTTCATATTCTTTTACGAAGAAATCTGATATTTCTTTAAATTTTATAAGCACTGATTTCTTAATGCGTTTGTGAAAATACATGCTGTTTACAGTTACCCATTACATGACGTTCAACTAAAAGGTCTCTGCTGTTATAATGTCATTTACTGAAACTTTAGAAGCTTTAGTGCATGGAAATTCTGTAGAATACGAGTTTTAATTTCTGGCTTAATAATTTTAACATCTTATTCTGAGGTGGTATTCCCAAACCCAAGGGAGCCTGCAGAGTAAACAAGCCATTTTATTTATTTTATGGCAGGATGCTGGATTGGATATATAAGGGTCAAAATTTGCTGAATTATGTTTGACTACTCTTCAAAATCATCAAGAACATAGTTTAATGTGATATATAACATCACTGTCACAAGCATTTTGCCAATCATCAAAGGAATAAGTTAGTTCTGTTTAGCATACTATTTCTCTTAACTTTCTTTCAGTAAAATATGATTTTTTCAGTATTTTCCGTAGCTCATAGTTTTTAATGAATTTCCATTAAAAACTACGGAGAATCCACTGTAGTATGAGTCAATGCAATTCTACTAATATCATTAAAATAAATCGAAGCAGAAGGCCCAAAGATTTCTCTTTTTGAGCACTAGAATACCTAAACTAGTCTTTGCACTCTTGTAATGAATCGTTTAATATAAAAATAAAGAGACCATTCAAGCTGTAGTAAATTTAAACATTCTTTACAAGACAGTAACTCAAAACACAACTATAGGGTAAAGAAGGCATTATTCAAAAGCTCCTAGAAGGATCAGTAAAGAACACTGTTTAGAAAGGAGGCAAACAACAAGCATTCCTGACATAGATGGATATTTTCTCATTATTTACATGTCTAGCTTTAAACATTTGGGAGAGTTACTGTTTCCCCCCCCCATTTTTGAGTACATATGCAACAACAGCTAATACACACATGCCTGTATTACATATATTTCAGTACCTGTGGATTTACATATGATCATCATTTTATTCACTTTATATACTGCTGGGCAGAAGACACAGCAAGCAATGAAAAAGATAATTTAATTAATTTTTTCAAACCACTACTGAACTACGCAACAGCTGTAAAAATGTAAATACCAGCCCTATAGATTTGCACATTTTTTTCCTTATAAAATTTCCCGTTTCTTATAAAGTGCTTTTACATTTTATTATTTATGAACACAGCAGTACCTTTGAGCTGTAGAAATAGGCAAACAAACATTTTTTAACTATGAATTGAAGACTTTTCGTGTCATGATGGGAAATAACAAAGTTAGAAGTGCTGTATTCAAAACTGCATCATATGGCTATAATAAAGGCAAAGAATCTGTATCAGAAAATGCAGGTTTCTTAATCCTCATTATAGCTATTAATGTCATTATTAGACAATGCCCTGCAACAATATTCTGATTTTTTCCTGTCATAAGAAGACCTATTTTGCTCAGTAACAATATACAATTTCTGATTATTTTTAAGCTCTTTTTATTTTCATTTTCCTTCAAGAGCCCTTTTTATTTTGTATTTATGAAATGAAATTCAGCAGAAGATATAGAATCTTCCTGCTCCTTGAAGAAGTGAGACTGCATCTGATTATCTAAAATGCCTATAGCATCTGAATAAAATTAAATGCCAATCCAGGATTAAACTTTGTTAAAAACTACACAAGCTCTTTTTCATTTCCCCCCTTTTTTAAAAAAAATTGTTTTCGAGTTTCAGAAAATGTTTATCTTTTAATATTTTCTGAGCTTTTAAAAGTAACAAATATAAGCACCAAGGGGGAAAAGATCAGCATATAGCCAAAAGGAAGAAAGACTAGTTTTAAAAGCTTCCTTTAAAAATGCCTTCTCTGATAATAAAACATTAATATTGAAAATATTAACAGTTTTAAAAATAATGAATTAAAAAGTCTACAATCTACTTCACTCACGATATTAGAATTAGTAGTGCCGACAAGATTCATGTAGTCCTTTGGTAACGATTCACGAAATTCAGGATCTTCTTTAATAGCTTGCTCCAAAGCTCTGGGAAGCGCCTGAAGAAATCAAATAAACACAATTAATTATGTTAACAAAAACTGAATTAAAAAGAATACAAAATCAAGGCCATAAAAAAGAAATTTCTTTCAAGTTTGAAATTTTCACAAGTACAGCAATAATGAAAAGTAAAACTTTTTAGAGATTTTAATTAATATTACATGCTTATTCTAATGACTCTTATTAAATTTTTAAGTTATGTCTCTCAAGAATAGTTTTTACATTTTGGAATTGTATGATCTATTTTTAATGAAGAACAATAAAGTAAATTATAATACTGAATTTCTGCTAAGAGAAGATAACGTAATATTATACTTTATCTTTGCTGGGAGAAATTTTTAATACTTTCGTACTTATTTCATTTCACCAAATCATATACAGTCAAAAGACGTTAATTCGGACACCCATAATCCGGAATGATCTATAATCCAAACCTCAAAACTACAAACTTTCTGCGCATGCGTCGCTTTGACGCATGCACGTAAGACCTTTACGGCTGCGAATATGTGAGTGTGTTTAATGTATAACGGACGGTATAAGCTAAGCTAAAATTATCTAATTCAGTTAATGTTGCAGATTGCGTTGTTCCTTAATCTTTGAATTGGAGGCTTATTATTTTCTGCACACTGTTAGAGCAATTTTATAAAAGTAAGCTTGAACTTTTGATTATGTCAAATAGAATTTCCGATATATATTTACTAATATGTAAAGGATCTACAAAGCGAAAGTATGTGTCGAAGTCCATTAAACAAAAAGTGGAATTGCTGCAAAAAACAGATAAAGGCATAATCCTTTGTTTATCTAACCATTCCGAAATCTGTTTATCAATTTCACGCTGCTCTGCAGCAGGGATGGGGGGGGACGCTGTGGCCCGCATTGAATTGGAAGTTGATCTGTCAGCACTATCCTTATCTTCAAGGCAGATGTTTTTTATTTTATTTGGCTTATAATTCCTTACTAAATGTAGTATTTCATCTCGATGTACTCCGTCTTTGATATGATTTAAATCAAATTCCTTCTCATTATAATTCACTTCCGATAGTGAAAAAAGTGACACAGAGGTTATTGAAAACGAAAAAATTTCGATTGACAAATTAGTCGGTATTCTCGACACAGCAATTATAGGACTTCAACAGCAGAACTTTGTAACTGAACAAGAAATTATGTCTGTTTAAAGAGTTAAAGAGAAAGTATTATCACATAAAACGAAGCAACTTAAACAACTTACATTGAAAGAAATGTTTAATAAAGTAAACAAATAAATATTAAGCTTTTTTTTTTTTTTTTTGTAAATTTTGATACCCTTTAGATCATAATTGTTCTTTATTTCATAAATTATGGTTTCATATTTTTAATTTTATAATTTCTGCATGCCATCTTACGAGATTTAAAATGATGATCTATAATCTGGAAAAATCGATAATTCGGCATCGCCGAAGTCCCGACGAGTCCGGATTAACGACTTTTGACTGTATATAGTTTGGAACAAACTAAATAAATAAAAGTGTTTAGTTTATTTAAATTTATTTGCAATGTGAAATACTTAAGTTGTGAGGACTTGTATACTCTTTTAATTCCACTTAAATTAAAAATGTGCAGGGGGGGGGGGAAGAAGTAGTTCTAAAATTTTCTTCCAACATTGAAACTGACATCTCTATATAAATGGACTTCTATAAAATTTTTAAATGGATTTACAATTTTTGAAATCAATGTACAGCAGGAAATAATCTGCATATATATATTTTCAACAGCATATGCACTACATCATAAAAATGCTTACAAAATTCAGCTGGAAAATCTACAACTAATTTATGACAAAGCACTTGTGACATATCTGTTATAAATGGATGCCTTCGTAGAAGACTCTATGGGAAATATAATTGGTTACATTATAAATGGAGACAAAAATCATAAATATAATTAATCCCTCTTTTCAGTTACAAGCCTTTTACCTTTCTTTTCTTCTTCCTCATCCCTTTTAAATTCACTTTCACACTGATAGATCTCAATTATAATAATATAAAGCCTTCACTTTTTTTAAACTATGCCCTCTTCCTAGCAATTATTTTTCAAAATCTATTGCTTCTCTGATGAACACATTTCAATTACTTATTAAAACACACACTACTTTTCTTCTCGCACTGATTAACCAATGAATTTTCTATATTAAAATGAAGAATATATTAAAGCTAGCCTTATTCTGTTAGCTTCTAAAAACAACATATAGTATCATACAAAGTCTGAAATCTGGACATCCAATATCTGGAATGAACTATTATCTAGACCCCCCCCCAAAAAAAAAAAATTTCCCTTCTTCTTTTGTGAAATTTTCTTTTCTTAAGCATTATAAAAACAGGGAATATGATATGCAAGAAAAAACAAGTGTGCCATAAATCGACTTTTATTCCAATTAGCCCTCCAAAATACCATATGTGATAGTATTAAATGATCCTGTATGTTATGTCACCTGCTGGCAACTGAAGCATTTGCTGCCTTCAAAATTGATTGAATCCTGACTAAAGTCTATGCCAAATACAAGGTTACTGCTTTGCTTAATTTTATGTTTTGCGTTGGCATGATTCTCTTCTCTCTTATTTCTGCTACAGACTGGCATTTTTGAGAACATTCTTCCAGTTTGGATCGTTTTTCAATCAATAGAGTCTTGAATAAAATCTATGCCAAACATGGGATTGTTGCTTTGCTTAATTTTATGTAATGAAGCATATTTTCATTTTCAGCTCTCAAGTGGTTGTGTGAGGGGCATTCAGCATTTTTCCGTGTGGATTAAACCTGCACGCAATAAGTGAAAGCTGAAAACTGCTGTTAGTTTGAGGAATGTTACAGATGGCTTTCTTATGTTATCATACCAAATAAGAAAGAAGAAAAAATTAGAGCTTAGTTAATCTAAGCTACCACTGTGTTCTTTTTTAACTTTCCGATTTCATCCAGATTATTATTATTCAGTCTATCAATATCTTATCAACTAAAACTTCAGTAAAGATAATATGACCATTTACTCTTTCCTCAAAAACTGTACATTAGTCATTTAACTCAAAGATATCGGCAGAAAATGTTACTATTTCGACTTCCAGTCACATTTTAGTTTCACAAAGTGGTTACTTAACAGTAATTGTTTGTGCAACATAACTTTTTCTTGAAGAAGTAGGTAAGCTACTCTTTCATCTTTTTGCTAATCTTAAAAAGTAAAAATCTATTTCAATTAAAAAAAAACTGAAAGGTTTCAGATTTTAAATTACGTCCAAAGGGGCATTTTTAAAAACATTTTGTGTGTTACCTTTATTTATTAAATATCATGTCATGTAAATATCATACGTACAATGGAATTTTGTAGGTAAACAAGAAATTATGTTTCTATAAAACGAAAAAGATACAGAGACAGATAATTAACATTGATCTTTTTTTCTTATAAATTTTATTCCCTTAATTATCATAAATGCTTCCTCATTTCACAAACAACTATTTCATATTTTTTATTTTGCAATTTCCCTATGTCATCTTACTAGATTTCAGTTGATGATCTACTTTCTGAAAATTTCTAAATCCAGAATCGGCATAATCCCGATACTTCCCTATCTTGGACTTTATACCGTATTTACAGTTATTCTTCAGAATTTTGAACATTCATTTCCTAAATAATAATGTATACCTTTAGCATTACAACTACTCAAATTTTCCTGAAAATATAATAATTTAAAATGCTTCCAACAGAAGACTATACTCATAAAATGCGATATACAAGCTTTATATGATTACAAAGAAAGCCTGTTAAAAACTTACCAACTCAAGAAGGTCGCCAAATGTATTCTTTTGGTTTGTAGAAATTGTTACATGTAAAGAATGCACATCATCTGCAGTTCTGGCCTATAACAAAATAACAGAATTATCAAGTTAAATTAAGTAATAAATATCTTCATACTACTCTGATTAATGAATATTCAACAGTAAAGAAAGCAAAGTACACGATACAAAACAGGCCTTTTTAATACATGTATTTGGAAAACAAAATTTTAATATATGAAGAATTTCAAAACAGTTGCAAAGCATACCAAATTAGATCGGCCTACTTGCTTCCCAAGTTGCTTAGTTCTGTGTCATACATTCATTAAAGGTAGTATTATGAATTTTTTATTATGTAGTTCCAGTGAAAATACACACAAATTGTATTACTGCTTGTACAGTGCAACATGAAATGGCTGAAGAATGTGAAGCTCTGCCAGAAAAATAAGATTACAGGGGCAAGTCCATTTAACAGTGATGTAAATTGTTCTCTCACCGATTTGGTGATGGTTTTGCAACTAATATTTTTCGCTAGATATGGCAGCAGTCTGATCTCAGTACAACTTCAATTGATCTAATTTGTGTGTAGCTGGCCCTATGTACCTGGAACTGCATATTTCTTCTAGCAATTTTGAGAAATCAGAGGTATTGTTAATTTCTTGGCAGATGGAGGAAAACTATATAACACCAGACAGTCATGCATGCCAGACTTCAAGCCTTTTTAAAGTATCAGTTCTCAGTTTAGTTCAGAGTTTAACTCAGAGTAGCAAGAGATCAGTCTGTGAGTTTAATGCATTTGAGGCCTTTTATAATGTCTTCTGTTTAACATTTAGTAGTTTGAAGTGGCAACTACTTACTGTACCCTGTCATACTGAGAAGAGCTGTATGAGCACTTTTATGAAAAGTTCCAGAACTGAAAAATGTTTCTTTTGGAAAAATAAATTTCATCGAGCTATTACCAATTCTGTGTGCATTCAATCCATTACAAACTTGTATACATAGTAACACTATTGCCCTCTAAAACTCATTTAATGAAGAGAATGTTCTATAGTCTTTAACCCTTTGACACGCGCAATATTATTTTTATAATTTTTTAACTAAAAACTTAAAAATTGAATATTAGGATCCTAGAGACAAATAATATATGAATTTAAAAAAATCTACTCTTGCCCATTGTTCTGTGGGTGGTGGTCGCACTGTGAAACCACCGCGCGTCTAGGACTTTGAAACTTATCGAGGTAAGTAGGAAAAAAAACTTACCTTTCTCCAAGCGCGTTTTCAATAAATGACGAAATTTACGAATTTAAAACAAAATGCATGTAGGAATTGCATATTATATAATATATATCTTTTTTACATTATTTTACAAAGTAAATAGTCAGAAAATATTAAAAAATAAACATTTATGTAATTTTTCTATAGCAGTGAAAGTACCTACATAATAAGGACGTTTGGCTACATGAATTAAAAAACTCAGTAAAATAAGGATAAAAAAAAAAAAAAGACTCAGTGTTTTTTTTTTAATTTCAAAGAACAAATATTTTTTGTGACACTGTTCACATGTTTGTCTTTTGTTTGTCTTTGTTTTGTCTTTTGTCTGTATGTATGTTTTGTCTTTTTGGTACATGCATGCCCACATTGCACGTTTTGCAACATGTATCTTTATCTATGAGGTTTCTTCCTTGTGCTACAAAATCTACACTGATTGGATCTAAATTTCACTGGTATATGTCCAGCATTATTTAGTTTCTTTTCATCTGGTACATGAAATTTGTAGTTTTTTTATGTTAATGAGGAGGGACTTGGTCTTTTTGGCTTTGATACGGATCATTCGTTTCCCATTCATACTTATTTTATTCGTATTTCGTCCCAAAATATTCAGAAAATATTTTTAATTTAAATAAAACTTTACACGATTTCTATTTTTAATTACAGCACAGTACATTTACATTAAATTTAAACCACAGGAAATAATTTATAAAATCACAATACTAGCTTGGGGAGCAAGTGTGTTGAGGTCAGAGAAAAGTCTCTGGAAAAGAAAGAGCTTTTTACTGGGCAGGTGCACGTATTGTTTAATAATAAAATAACTCTGTGATTTCAAAACCCCTTATCTATATCTGGGTAAAAATAAACATTTCTATTTGAGAAGCAAGCGAACGCCATTGTGAAGAGCAGTGGTTTCAAGGCGCGACCACCTAGCCTCTAGAGCATTGTGACACAATGCTCTAGTGGTGCAGTGGTCGTGCCCTGAAACCACAAAGCAAATACCATACATATAGAGGGGTTTTTTTTATATATGCAGTTTAATTATTGCTATTTATTGTTTATGATAGAAATCATGAAGTGCGATGAATAATTTTTGAAATTTAAAGTTGTTTATATTAATAAGAGGAAGTTATTTTGTCTCATTGAAAACAAATTTTAAAAGGCATCCGATTTGAAGTACTAAGACCTAAACCATGAATGATTCTGCAGTCATTTTGTGCTATTTAGAGGTACAAGATCAGTAATCAATTGATTTTCACTCAAAAATTTCGGAAGGAAGAGGAGAAAAAATTCGAAAATTGGTGGTTTCAGGGCACGACCACCGCACGTCAAAGGATTAAGCAGATGTGTATTGAACTTGTGCATTGAATAATTTTATTACATGAGATGCTTCTTGTTAATGGTCAGCCTCCTGCTTTTTTTGTGGGTACTAATGACATAAATTCAAAGTCTTGCTGAAATTCTTGCAGTCTCAGTACACTTTTAAAATGTTCCTACTAAAAACATAAACTTTACCTATATCTCCACAATGCTATCTCAGAAGCTCCATTTATTAAACAGTATTAAAAATCCAGTTAAATCAGAAGTTCACCACGGAAATTTCAATTGAAGTCAAAGAAGATTGAGGAATCAACAGCTGAATACACAATGATAGTTGATTAGCATAATGGGATAAAAAATTATTAATAAAACTGATAATTAATTGCTTAATGTGGAAATTGTGCCGCAATGATGCACCAGATGGCATAACCTATCCCTATGGTAGGAACCCTCCGGGTATCTATATTTTATTTGGTTCTAGAAGTCTGAGAGAAGCTGTCTAATGGAATGCTCATGAAGGAGTTACAAGATGCTTACTGACTGTGTGGAGTCGATCAATCAGACTTGGACTGATCTAAAGCGACCACACGTAGGTGGTCAGCTGTTATCATTTAACTGTGCATGAGAAGGTGGTTATACTGGAACAAATGTTGTGATTCTTCGCCTAATCATACTCAATTTATCTGTACAAACTCATCCCATTTACCTTTTCTTCTGTGAATCAGGAAACAAAACCTAATACTTGGAACCAGTGGGTATGATTTCTGTTTTACGGTAATACATCATATCCAAATTAATGATTTAAAGCTATACCCTGTAGTAAGGAAGAAATCATATAAAGTAAATGGAAATATATAAAAAAATGTTTTAAATATTTTAAAAACAAACAATATTTTTTAAATGCATAATTTTTTGTATAATAAATACAATGCAGAAAAAATGCATAAATGTGAGAAAAATGGAATAAAAAAATACAAATTATGCAAGACTTTCTCTGAAGATATATTATTATATACAAGCCACATGCTAAATTTAAAAGATTTTAATGTTCTCGTACCAGACACTGAAAATCTGAATGTGCCAGCACAGCAGATGGAACAGCTAAACTACGATAAATTTGATCTTCATATTATGAGTAAAGAGTTTACTGCATTAAAAGAGTATGTTCATGCATAAGTCTTATTCAAAACACAAGGCTTACTTGACAATCAAAAGAAATATCCCATAACAAAATTTGTAGCCAAACTAACATTACAGACTTTTCCCCTCTCCTTATCTAATAGAAGCAGGTTTCAATCAAGTCAATTTATTATGGAAAACAGAACTATTTTTGAACACTGTGATTAAGAATTAAGTTATGTAGTTTTATGCCAAATATTAAAAAAAGTATCCAGTATATCAAAAGCAGCCACCACACTAATTAAAATTCAACTCTTGCAAAATTAGACTCTGTGACATTGTTTCTAAGAGCTTTCTTCATTTGTAAAATTAAAAATAACATAAAAAATAATAAAACAAAAAATTAAAAACCATTTTCTCCCCTCAAAACATTTGTCATTAGTCTAACTGTTAAGCTATTTAATGCAATTATTTATACAGTCAAAAGTCGTTAATCCGGACTCATCGGGACTTCAGCGATTCCGGATTATAGATCATCAGTTTAAATCTGGTAAGATGGCATGCAGAAATTATAAAATTAAAAATATGAAACCATAATTTATGAAATAAAGAACAATTATAATCTAAAGGGTATCAAAATTTACGAAAAAAAAAAGCTTAATATTTATTTGTTTACTTTATTAAACATTTCTTTCAATGTAAGTTGTTTGTTTAAGTTTTGTTTGCGTTTTTTTATGTATAATACATTCTCTTTAATTCTATAAACAGATATAATTTCTTGTTCAGTTACAAAGTTCCGCTGTTCAAGTCCTATAATTGCTGTGTCGAGAATACCGACTAATTTGTCAATCGAAATTTTTTCGTTTTCAATAACCTCTGTCACTTTCTTCGCTATCGGAAGCGAATTATAATGATGAGGAATTTGATTTAAATCATATCAAAGACGGAGTACATCGAGAAGAAATACTACATTTAGTAAGGAATTATAAGCCAAATAAAATAAAAACATCTGCCCTGAAGATAAGGATAATGCTGACAGATTAACTTCCAATTCATTGCATGCCGCGGCGTTAAAGATAAACAAAGTTAGATAAACAAAGGATATGCCTTTATCAATTTTTTGCAGCAATTCGACTTTTTGTTTAATGGACTTCGAAACATACTTTCGCTTTGTAGATCCTTTACATATTAGTAAACATATATCAGAAATTCTATTTGACATAATCGAAAGTTCAAGCTTACTTTTATGAAATTGCTCTAACAGTCTGCAAAAAATAATAAGCCGAATCCAATTCGAAGATTAAGGAACAACGCAATCTGCAACATTTACTGAATTAGATAATTTTAGCTTAGCTTATCCTATACGTTATACATTA